CCGCGCCTTCTGTCTACCGTCGAGCGTGTTTGCCGGAAATCCAAAGGTTCGCATAAACGAAAACGTTACGCGGGCTCCACTTCGGCTCTTAGACAAACGCTCAACGAATCGCGACGTCCTACTAGAGGAAAAGTGCACGCGTTCGACGCCGGCAAGAAAAACAAAAGGCGCAGACGACACGAATGCCATCCGTCACACAATCATCAGACTCCGACTATGTCGAAACGCGAATGAATTTCCTCTTTCGATCTTTCGGGTTTCTCAGGTTTACCCCTGAACGGTTTCACGTACTCTTGAACTCTCTCTTCAAAGTGCTTTTCAACTTTCCCTCACGGTACTTGTTCGCTATCGGTCTCGTGGTCATATTTAGCCTTAGATGGAGTTTACCACCCACTTAGGGCTGCACTCTCAAGCAACCCGACTCTGAGGAGAGATCCTCCCGCAATCGGCAACGGTCGCTACGGGCCTGGCACCCTCTATGGGCTGTGGCCCCGTTCAAGAAGGACTTGGACACGCCGCACGATCTCGGGATAACGGATCCTCCCTAACACCACATTTCCCGGTGGTCGATATCGGCCGCCACGGGATTCGGTGCTGGGCTTTTCCCTGTTCGCTCGCAGCTACTAAGGGAATCCTAGTTAGTTTCTTTTCCTCCGCTTATTAATATGCTTAAATTCAGCGGGTAGTCTCACCTGATCTGAGGTCGATTGATTGAAATATATATATAGAACAAATTACTCGCGTACTTATATGCTCTTTTCGCAAAACTTTTCGATAAAACCAATCGTAAACTTAACTACACTAACACCGATTACAACGGACGTCCTTCTCTTTATAGATACGTTATATAAACCGATTGCTGCATCGTCGAAGACTGAGCGAGCGCGTATTGTGTTCATATATACGTGTGTTTAAAAAACGTTTTTAAATCGCGTACGCAACGATTCAAGATGTGTAAGTTCAAGTACAAGCACAGATCAGACGTCTTTACATGTCTTCGAATTTCATTTATCTCGGACACGACGACCGTGCACTTTAATTGTACTACTTACAACGTTATGAGTTGCGTTTTTACAATTAAACGTATAAACACACGATATGATTTAACATATCGCGCTACAATACGGAATATATATATCTCTGATACGAGACGTGTGCGTTTCGGTATATGCGTGCGGTAGAGTTACGAACGCGGTTTTACAATCTTACATTTTGTTAATAAGAGCAATTCCACGACGTAATACGTTCACGTTGCACAAAATTCTTCTTACGAAGATAAATTTATTTATGCAACGTCGCTTTCGCATTTTAAGACGTCGCGTATTGTGCGTGAAATATACACACGCATAACAACACACGTTAAACGTCCAACGCGCTCGAAAGTTCATCCCTCTCCTATAATAAATTATAAATACGTAAAATACCTTTGAAAATTCTCGTAAATATACGCAGTACAACGATCACACGACACGTAAATGTTCATGAAAATATGTAAACACGAAAATGAATACACACATCGTCATTTTGATCGTATATGTCACGTTGGAACGACGTTCACACGACACGTAAATGTTCATGAAAATATGTTCGACACATAATAGTGCGTACATACATCGTCATTTTGATCGTATATGTCACATCGATTCATCTGCATATAAGTTACGTTCATCTCTTCTCCGGTAAAACGTACTAAAGAGGCGACTTACAAACGAGCAGTCTTTGAAATTGATACGACCCTCAGCCAGGAGTGGTCCAGGAACGTGTATCCGAGGACCGCAATGTGCGTTCGAAATGTCGATGTTCATGTGTCCTGCAGTTCACAAGTTGACGCGCAATTAGCTGCGTTCTTCATCGACCCACGAGCCAAGTGATTCACCGTTCAGGGTAATACTTAAAAAATTATATTATTTTTCGGTACATACATCTCGATTCTCATTTTCGAGCATTCGACGTACCATGTAAAAATAATTTAATCAAAAGTGGCAAGTGTATTTATACGTTTTATGCTAATATACATATATAAACGTAATAACAATTTGTGGGAAAGATGCGTCAAAAATTAGTGTATAAATTTTTCGCAAGAGTACAATTTTTTCTTTAGTGCACTGCAACTTCATGATCGGTATGTCATATTAAACATACTTACGAAACAAACTTGGCGTGCGAGAAAAAATACTCTTTAAAACCACACATATTTTTATCATCTCATTATAGTTTCATATAGATCGAGGGTCGAACGTTTAACGCACAGACCTCTTCGACGGCGGGCGAATATCTTTAAAAACCATCGGAACGAATGTAACTCTATGGTTTAAGCTTATTTCGTTCCTTAAAAGAGTATTGGCGTACGCACCGGAGAAACTAAGATTACGTACCAAAATATGTTCTTTTTAATAAACACTATACGTCTAAATCCATTTTTCTCCATCGTACTTTTCCTCTTTCAGGTACCCGCATCGTGATATATAATCACCCGTCAAATGAGTATTCCGATTACGCATATTTCGGTATCGAAATTTTCATTTTGCATCGTCGAAATACGGTGACCGCTCCATATACCATCGGCACGTATAAACAAACCCTACGACAGTAAAAAAGACTTCACTTAGAAGTCTTTAACTGTATTTCAGATAAATGTTTACACTTCGGAACGGCACTTTCCCGTATTGTTTCGAACGCAAATTATTTCGATTTAACCAAATCAATGCGTGCGTACGTTCGATTGTACACCAATCGACCTTACAAAACTTATCGTTCGAATAGAAGATTTATCCAAAATTTTTATCGTTATTATTGAAAGAGTAATCTCAAATCGTCTTCAGTAGCGCAAACATAAGTATTCCGTCTAAGTTTGTAAAACTACATACATATACAGTGGAATCCAATCAAGCTTGGCATGATTACTGAGGATCGACGAGACTCTTAAAAATAAACAAACTTTTAAATCTTCTTTTTTTTATATTCACCGAAGGTCGTACGTTTACGCACATAAACACACATGCGAAAGAACGGAAGGCGTTTAAAACTCTTTTAGTAACAAAATCGAACACTATAATGTCGCGCATTCGAAACGATCGTACGTAACGGGAGACGATTATTCGACAGCACAGTTTGAAATCCGTAAAAACGTATTCACTTACACTGTTATGCTGAACAAATATTTTTCGTCTACACATCGTTTTACAATCTGCTTCAATCGCGATGTGTTCGATTTAACCTAAAGAGCGCGCGGACGTACCAGGCGCAACGGTCTTATAAAAATTTAAGCGTTCGAAAAATATATAATATTACATGTAACAATCGTTTTAGTCAAGTTTATAAAAAATAGTAATACGAACGTTTACAACAAAAAATTTGGTAATACTTCGTTTATTTGCTATTTTTAAACTAACAGACGATTATAGTACATTTATCTATTATACATAAATTACTATGCTAGTCGTTTATGTTTAAACAACATGACACTGTAATGATCCTTCCGCAGGTTCACCTACGGAAACCTTGTTACGACTTTTACTTCCTCTAAATGATCAAGTTTGGTCATCTTTCCGAAGCATCGACGACGCCGAAACGCCACCGCGCTCAGTCCGAAGACCTCACTAAATCATTCAATCGGTAGTAGCGACGGGCGGTGTGTACAAAGGGCAGGGACGTAATCAACGCGAGCTTATGACTCGCGCTTACTGGGAATTCCTCGTTCATGGGGAACAATTGCAAGCCCCAATCCCTAGCACGAAGGAGGTTCAGCGGGTTACCCGGGCCGCTCGGCCAGGGAGGACACGCTGATTCCTTCAGTGTGGCGCGCGTGCGGCCCAGAACATCTAAGGGCATCACTGACCTGTTATTGCTCAATCTCGTGCGGCTCAAAGCCGCCTGTCCCTCTAAGAAGAATTGTTTGTACGCCGACAGTAAAAACCGCGCGCGATCGGAGCCGAAGCACCAACCGGCGGGCCTTTGGGATGTCGAAATACGCCTATTTAGCAGGCTAGAGTCTCGTTCGTTATCGGAATTAACCAGACAAATCGCTCCACCAACTAAGAACGGCCATGCACCACCACCCACCGAATCAAGAAAGAGCTCTCAATCTGTCAATCCTTCCGGTGTCTGGGCCTGGTGAGGTTTCCCGTGTTGAGTCAAATTAAGCCGCAGGCCCCACTCCTGGTGGTGCCCTTCCGTCAATTCCTTTAAGTTTCAGCTTTGCAACCATACTTCCCCCGGAACCCAAAAGCTTTGGTTTCCCGGAAGCTGCCCGCCGAGTCATCGGAGGAACGTCGGCGGATCGCTAGCTGGCATCGTTTATGGTTAGAACTAGGGCGGTATCTGATCGCCTTCGAACCTCTAACTTTCGTTCTTGATCAATGAAAGCGTTTTTGGCAAATGCTTTCGCTTCTGTCCGTCTTGCGACGATCCAAGAATTTCACCTCTAACGTCGCAATACGAATGCCCCCATCCGTTCCTATTAATCATTACCTCGGGGTTCCGAAAACCAACAAAATAGAACCGAGGTCCTATTCCATTATTCCATGCACACAGTATTCAGGCGAAGTTTTAGCCTGCTTTAAGCACTCTAATTTGTTCAAAGTAAACGTGCCGGCCCACCTCGACACTCAGTGAAGAGCACCGCGGCGGGATTGATTTGGGCCGCCCTTGCGAGCTAAGCCCACCGGCAGGACGTCCCGCGACACGCCAGTTGACACCGCGTACGATGAACCGGCGGCGCGGGACACAGATTCGACTACGAGCTTTTTAACCGCAACAACTTTAATATACGCTATTGGAGCTGGAATTACCGCGGCTGCTGGCACCAGACTTGCCCTCCAATTGATTTTTGTTAAAGGGTTTAGAGTGTACTCATTCCGATTACGGGGCCTCGGATGAGTCCCGTATCGTTATTTTTCGTCACTACCTCCCCGTGCCGGGAGTGGGTAATTTGCGCGCCTGCTGCCTTCCTTGGATGTGGTAGCCGTTTCTCAGGCTCCCTCTCCGGAATCGAACCCTGATTCCCCGTTACCCGTTACAACCATGGTAGGCGCAGAACCTACCATCGACAGTTGATAAGGCAGACATTTGAAAGATGCGTCGCCGGTGCGAGACCGTGCGATCAGCGAAAAGTTATTCAGAGTCACCAAGTATTACGATGACGAGCGAGCTCGACACCGATTGGTTTTGATCTAATAAAAGCGCTCCTTCCGTCTCCGGTCGGAGCTCTATTTGCATGTATTAGCTCTAGAATTACCACAGTTATCCAAGTAAATGTGGGTACGATCTAAGGAACCATAACTGATTTAATGAGCCTTTCGCGGTTTCACCTTAATTTGGCTTGTACTGAGACATGCATGGCTTAATCTTTGAGACAAGCATATGACTACTGGCAGGATCAACCAGGGAGCTGTTCATCGTCGTGTCGTTGACTTACTAATCGAAAAGAAATAAACGTTAAAACACCCGTTAATCTCACAACATGCTCTATATGTATGTATATGAAAGTTATATACACATATAATATGCCTGTATTTGTAAATAACGGTATACGTTTCAAATTTCTTTCTTTCGTTCGTTCAACAATGCGCGTTTATATTTGCGTTTTAAAAGAATTAAATTCTCCAACGCCACGCTTTCATACAACTGCCTACGACAGACAATAAACAACAAAATCAAAATACCGTATTCGACTAGTAATGGCACAAACACAGCATCATCCTCCATCCGTGCGTTTGAGTAAATGTACAGATTACACAAATTCATGTGTAATACACATTCGATAAAGCGCACTGTAAATTTAGAGGTGCACGTCGCGTTGGTCATTTTATCTCGGCCGAACGGTACAAATATTCAACATTCTCTCGACCCTTCGCTAGATTGAAAGCGACACGGTGTTCTCGAGAAAGAGAATCGGTACGATTAATTTTATAAACTCGCTCGGTTTTCAGAGAGTTGTCACATAATTTATGTCAAATAATAAAAATTATTTGTTGAAGTCGGTCGCATATGGACGGCTAACGCACAGCGCTCGCTTAATCCACGACCCCGCTATGAAAAAGGTACCAACAAGCGAAACTCCATCACCTATCTACAAAGACGGCCTCTTTGTGTCGCCCTTCGGAACAATGCAAAAATCGTTGATCAGTCGACCGCGTACGAATAAAATGCAGAAAGCCAAAGGAGACTTGAGAGACGCGTAAAAGATAGGCCGGAAGCCCGTTGTAATCGTTCGAAAAGGCGACGACACCGCAACGAAACAAACACCGAAATTGGTTACATACGCTCAACGCTCGTATTCAACGCGTATATTCAAACTCAAATCGATGAAAGCACCGCCGATAGGCGTCCGTCGTCTACGAACGCATAAAGATCATGTTCATTCTTGTAATATACTTTTAATAGCAAACACATGAGTGGTCGACGAGGCAGAAAAACCATCGTTCGAATTTATGTGAGGTTTTTATTAACGCGACTTCTTCTCTAGTGTACGAGCTATCATACGTATAAAATATCGAATAAACGAGCGTAGGCACGTCTCGACCGAATTTATCTCGAAAAACTGCACGCGTCTCGCTTAATCACTTACACGCTCAGCGCAATTCGCTTGTAAACTAATTTTAAAAAAAGCTGTACATTATACGAATATCACGCAATGAGCAAGAAACGATTGGTGCGAGTGACGTGAATACGAGTGTAATGCGACGAATTTGGCCTTACTCTTTTTCTCAATTATGCGTTCGAAGGTATTTGTATGTAAAATGAACGTAGAAATAAGCAGCGGCAACGGATAATTTCTTGACAACGCACTCGGTGTGAATTAAAAACGTAATATCAGTTTTTCCACCCCTAAACGTGCGTGCAGTCGACGATAATTCCAAAAAGCCGATATACGCTTAAAATACTTCGCCATACATACCACCATACACACGGAATAGGTACCAAAGCGCCGAGCGATCGTTCGTCCGAACAAGGCAAAATCGGCTGCGAGCGTATAACGTATGAACGAATATAGGACGCCGCCGAAAATTTTCTAGTCGTAAGAAACCACCAAACAGCGCATCAATTAGTACCCGACGTGCGAAGAGAGACTTATGCCGAACGGGAGGCCAACCGAATCGAAGCCGCGCTCGCGCGCTTTACCCAGCCGGCGCCCGCACAGCGCTCTCTTACAGTGGGGAAAAGGTCACCGGTGAGCGTTGTACATTCGAATAAGCATAGGAATTATAAATTGGCGCTTCGATAAAACTTTGCTTATGTTTAATTTTACGATTATTTTTGCATAAATAGTCACGTCTAACTATGATTAATCGACCTACGTCGAAAAATTTCAAAATTTTTCGTTTTTACGAAAACCGCTGTTCGAGCGCTAGCACAATTCTCTCTAGTTTATCGTCGTTGGTGACAGTCGACTGTAGCGAGTCGACGATCGCTGTTCGATGCTCGGTAGCACGTTGGCATATAATTTACGAATATCGGCTTGAAATTTAATCGCCATCGTCGGACCGTCGGACCGTGCGATTGCGGGTCGGCTATCGGGGCGCTCGGTGATCGGTGCTCGATGGCCCGTCTCTACACTCTCGACGGTACGTCGTTCGATGGTATCGACTCGGCGGTCGGCGGTCGGCGCTCGATGCTCGGCTGCCTTTCTGTATATTCCCGTCGGACCTTCGTTTGCACGATGGCGGATCGGCTATCGGGGCGCTCGATGCTCGGTGATCGGTGTTCGGTGGCCCGTCTGTACACTCTCGACGGTCCGTCGTTCGACGGTATCGGCTCGGCGTTCGGCGCTCGATGCTCGAAAGCCCGTCTGTGTATATTTTCGGGGATCGGCTTGAATTTTCATCGCTATCGTCGGACCGTCCATCGACTATCCAACGGGTCTGTTGTCGGCGCTCGGTACTCGGTGCTGAGGTGCTCGTCTAAATATATTATACGGGCATTTAGGGTCTCGATTAAAATTCGAAAATTACAAATCCGATGGGCGCATAATTTTGCACGCGTGCACTACGAGGGTAGTTTCTATTATTAGGGGTAAATTCAACCCTTAAGAGAATATATGTATATATGTATATATAATTCGAAAAGGGACTGTTTTTTTTTGAAAATCGGTAATGTAACCAACCCATTGGGGGTGATAGGGGTGGAATTTCAATTTATAACTAGTGACAAATCTGAACGGTTTCGAAGAGTTCTAAACGGTCCCGAATAGTTCCAAAAAGTTCGGAACAGTTCTAAATAGTCCGGAATAGTTCTAAGGGTTCCAAATAGTTCCAAATGGTTCGGAACAGTTCTAAATGGTCCCGAATAGTTCTAAATGGTCCCGAATAGTTCCAAATAGTTCGGAACAGTTCTAAATGGTCCCGAATAGTTCTAAATGGTCCCGAATAGTTCTAAATGGTCCCGAATAGTTCCAAATAGTTCGGAACAGTTCTAAATGGTCCCGAATAGTTCTAAATGGTCCCGAATAGTTCCAAATGGTGCGGAACAGTTCTAAATGGTCCCGAATAGTTCTAAATGGTCCTGAATAATTCCAAATGGTTCGGAACAGTTCTAAACGGTCCCGAACAGTTCTAAAGGGTCCCGAATGGTTCCAAATAGTTCGGAACAGTTCTAAATGATCCCGAATAGTTCTAAAGGGTCCCGAATAGTTCCAAATGGTTCGGAACAGTTCTAAATGGTCCCGAATAGTTCTAAAGGGTCCCGAATAGTTCCAAATGGTTCGGAACAGTTCTAAACGGTCCCGAATAGTTCTAAAGGGTCCCGAATGGTTCCAAATGGTTCGGAACAGTTCTAAATGGTCCCGAATAGTTCTAAAGGGTCCCGAATGGTTCCAAATGGTTCGGAACAGTTCTAAATGGTCCCGAATAGTTCTAAAGGGTCCCGAATGGTTCCAAATGGTTCGGAACAGTTCTAAATGGTCCCGAATAGTTCTAAAGGGTCCCGAATAGTTCCAAATGGTTCGGAACAGTTCTGAACGGTCCCGAATAGTTCTAAAGGGTCCCGAATAGTTCCAAATGGTTCGGAACAGTTCTAAATGGTCCCGAATAGTTCTAAAGGGTCCCGAATAGTTCCAAATGGTTCGGAACAGTTCTGAACGGTCCCGAATAGTTCTAAAGGGTCCCGAATAGTTCTAAAGGGTCCCGAATAGTTCCAAATGGTTCGGAACAGTTCTAAACGGTCCCGAATAGTTCTAAAGGGTCCCGAATAGTTCTAAAGGGTCCCGAATAGTTCCAAATGGTTCGGAACAGTTCTAAATGGTCCCGAATAGTTCTAAAGGGTCCCGAATGGTTCCAAATGGTTCGGAACAGTTCTAAACGGTCCCGAATAGTTCTAAAGGGTCCCGAATAGTTCCAAATGGTTCGGAACAGTTCTAAATGGTCCCGAATAGTTCTAAAGGGTCCCGAATGGTTCCAAATGGTTCGGAACAGTTCTAAATGGTCCCGAATAGTTCTAAAGGGTCCCGAATAGTTCCAAATGGTTCGGAACAGTTCTGAACGGTCCCGAATAGTTCTAAAGGGTCCCGAATAGTTCCAAATGGTTCGGAACAGTTCTAAATGGTCCCGAATAGTTCTAAAGGGTCCCGAATAGTTCCAAATGGTTCGGAACAGTTCTAAATGGTCCCGAATAGTTCTAAAGGGTCCCGAATAGTTCCAAATGGTTCGGAACAGTTCTGAACGGTCCCGAATAGTTCTAAAGGGTCCCGAATAGTTCTAAAGGGTCCCGAATAGTTCTAAAGGGTCCCGAATAGTTCCAAATGGTTCGGAACAGTTCTAAATGGTCCCGAATAGTTCTAAAGGGTCCCGAATGGTTCCAAATGGTTCGGAACAGTTCTAAACGGTCCCGAATAGTTCTAAAGGGTCCCGAATAGTTCCAAATGGTTCGGAACAGTTCTAAATGGTCCCGAATAGTTCTAAAGGGTCCCGAATGGTTCCAAATGGTTCGGAACAGTTCTAAATGGTCCCGAATAGTTCTAAAGGGTCCCGAATAGTTCTAAAGGGTCCCGAATAGTTCCAAATGG